TGTTTTTTTTTTTTATTATTTTTAGTTGTAGTTGAACACAGTACCTTTTATTTTATTTATTTATTTTTTATGTGGTGCTGAGGATCAAACCTAGTGTCTCACGTGCTAGGAGAGTGCTTTACCACTGAGCCACAACCCCAGCCTCCTGAGTGTTTTTATTGTAGGGGCTTACTTTATTTATTTTTTATTGTAATAAGTTTATATGAGATTTGACCTTAATAATTTTCTGTTGATAATATTTATATGAATTTGGTTTCCTTTAGGCTTTCAGAGTTAGGTACAATTTTCTGACTTCACATAGTTTCTATTTGTTGTTTTTATGTAGCATTCAAAAGATGATGGTACATGTTCCCTGAGATTTCTTGGGTCTTTTCTCCTTCCCCATTTTGGTCTAGACTTTTCTCTTTCTTTTATTTTTCTATGCTGTTCTGTTTTGATTTTATTAYAGCAGTTTGTTTTCAATATGGGGCCTGTTCTAGAAGATCATCCTGGTGGATCAGTTTTGAAAGCTCATACAGACTAAATTGTTTAAACCTTTTCCCATCTTCTATCATGAACCCTTTGTCCTATCTGATGTTTAAGCTGCATATATGTTAGTTCACCCTTGGAATCCTAGCTATGTGGAGGTTGAAGCAGTAGGAGGATTACCAGTTCTAGGCCAGCCTGGGCAATTTAGTAAGATTCTGTCTCAAAATAAAAAGGGATGAGGATGTAGCTCAGTGGTAGAAACCTTACTTAGCATGCACAAGACTCTAGGTTAATCTSTAGTTACTAAAACAAATGTGCAGGCGAGCACACAGCCAGAAACCCTCTAGTTTTTCTTCAAATTGGCCTACATTTTTTGTGGTTCTGGGATTGAACCCAGGGCATTATAACATGTTAAGCACACACTATAGCATTGAGCTATATAAGCCCCTAGCCCCTGAACCCATTTTTAAATGGAATATCATACTGACTATAGTTTCCTGGGCATTAATTTTTCACTTGACATTATGTTACTAAGATTCATCTGTATGTTTTTGTGTGTAGCCATAGTGCATTCCTTCCCATTGCTGTATAATCCATTATATTGGTTCCAGTTGTTTTGTTGTGCATTACAGAACCACAGTAATGATAGTAATTTATATATCATTTATTATGTCCTAGACACTCTTCTTAGTGCTTTACATTTACTATCTCATTTAAACCTCACATGAATCTTGTGAGGTAAGTATTGTTTCACTCTTCACAGATCATATAACTGAGGCATGAGGCATGAGGCATGCAGGGTTAATAACTTACCCAAGGGATTGCAGATACTGATTGGAACCTAGGATATCTAGTTCTTTGTACTTTGTTCATGCAATGTATTCCTTCCCCCCCCCCCCCCGCCCCCAAGTACTGGGGATTGAACCCAGGGCACTCTACTACTGAGCCCCTTCCCCCCTTTAAAATTTTGAGAGGGTCTTGCCAGGTTTCTGAGGCTGGTCTTGAACTTTCAGTCCTCCTGTTACAGTCTCCAAAGTAGTTGGGTTTATAGGAGTGTGCTACCACACCTGACAATATTGCATCATATTCTGCAAATAGGAATCTTTTCTTTGTCCTCATAGACCTTTACATATAAAAAAGTTTCTGATTTAAAGACATAGTATATTTTACTATTTTCTCCTTTAAAGTTTTAATATTTAGAATAAATATATAGTCTTTGCTTCATTTAATTTTTCTTACTTCTTTCTTTATTTTTAGTATTGGGTATCGAACCACTGAGTCACATCCCCAGCCCTTCTTATTTTTAATTTGAGACCACATCTATATAAGTTGCTTAGGGACTCACTAAGTTGCTGAGGCTGACCTCAAACTTGCGATCCTCCTGCCTCAGCCTCCTGAGTCACTGAGATTACAGGCATGTGCCCTGTGCCCAACTACTTCATTTAATTTTAATTTGAAAATTAAAATGATGTTTGGAGTATAAATTCTAGCAAGTAAGGTCATCTTTAGTATCATAGTGCACACATATGGAGATTAACACCATCTACTGGCATACAGAAACAATAACTTGGTTATGTCATAATTATTGGTTAGAAGGATTTTTCTTTTTTTCTTAAATTTTTTTTTAGTTGTAGTTGGAAGACAATACCTTTATTTTATTTATTTAGTTTTATGTAGTGCTGAGGATTGAACCTAGTGCCTCGCACGTGCTAGGCAAATGCTCTATCGCTGAGCCATAACCCCAGCCTATAGATGGAGTTTTCTTTTTGAAATTCTGCTTCTGAGGAATCAAATATTTTATAATTTTTCTGTGTACTGATTTTTATTCCCCAGGGTTTTTTTTTWAACTTTGAACTTAAATTCCCAAGTGTAACTTATTGTATGTTGCATATTATACAGTTGCATAGCTAAAATTACATTTAGACAAGCTGTCATTGGGTAAGTCTTTTTTCCAAGCACATATATAAAATAATTTATTAGAGTAATAAGAACAAGAGGAAACTATTATATTGAACCCTAACATTAATTATATTTATTTAGTGTTCTGTTTTGGTTTAGTTAAGTGATAATATCTTTGTAGAGGAATGGAATTGATAGTACAGTGAAAACAGAATTCTCAGTGACTAACCTTGGGAAGTTTTACTTCAATCTTTCTAACTTTAAGTGGTTTAGCTTTCATTTGTTGGTGGTGTAGGATTTTATTTGTATCTTGTTTTTGGACTAATTTCTATCCTTGGTCATTTTTCTTTCTTTATCAGAAAGATAATCCATGAGACTTAAAAATGTGTGAGAAATTCATTATTGTCATTCATTTTTTTCTTTTTCTGTTTTTTCTTTAGGCACTTTTACAAGTTAAATATATCTTAGATGTTATAAGGAGGGACATGTGATTACTTAATGAGTGTTAGTTGAGTGATTCATTAAAGGAATTTTAAAAAATCTAATTTATGTTACAGAGTAGGAATAGTTGTTTTAGAGATTCAGTGTTTCTGATATGTTTACTTTTAAGTCTTCTGAACAAAATAAATGTTCTTTTGCTCTGGGGCTATTTAGCACTCAAGGAGAGTGGTTTTTTGTTTAATGTGTTAGCTTATTGTAGGTATTCACATATTTAGGAATATCTGATTAAGGTCTTACTAATTCAGAAATAGAAATAATTATAAAATCTTGAATATGAAAAGTCCAAGATTACTCTTGTAATAGCATAAGTTTTTAACTCATGTTAAAGATAGACTTAGTGAATGGATTGAGCAATGGSGTCATTTGTACTATTGTTTTTGTTATTCCTTTCAGTATTTTACTTTTGAATTTAATTTATGTTAAAGTGAAAACTAATCTTTTCTAATTCTAATGTATAATTTTATTTTATTAAAACATATACAATTTATTATTTAAATGTATATACTCTCTTTCCTAATCGGCTATCTAACCCATTTCTTAGAAATGAGTGCAGAGACTTTTTTTTTTTTAACAATATCTTATTTATTTATTTATTTATCTATTCATTCTTTCATTCATTCATTTATTTATTTTATGTGGTGCTGAAGATTGAACCCAGGGCCTCATACATGCTAGGTGAGTGCTCTACTGCTGAGCCACAACTTCAGCCCTAGAGTACAGAGACTTAAAATATTATATGAACATATAAAAATTTAAAATTATTCTAGCCATTTTTCAGAAATCTTTTAGTACTTTCCAATAATCTTTCTCTCAAGYTCTCTGTCAACTGATTCTTTGATTTGGTATATTTTGTATTTTGCTTTCACATTGATTGCTAATAAATTATTTATTTCAGAGATACTTTCCACCCTGGTGAGTTTTAGGTTAGGGAGTAATAAGATGAATAATTTCTGACCTGTAAGGACTATTATAATTGATTATGAGTGTTATAGTCTTTATTTTATATTGTCTCAAAATAAAAAATAAAAGAGCTGGGAATGTAACTCAGTGGTTAAGCACCTGGGTTCATTCCCTGGTACCAAAACAAAACAAAACAAAACACTCATGATATTTCTTGAGTGCCCTGTATTTCTTTATCATCCCATTAGAGAGAAGGTACATTTTACCTTAAGCACAATATTGTCTACTAGAGTCTTTTAGAAATGAAGAGAAAAATAAGTCGTTTTTTTTCTAGTAAAAACTTCTGACATTATTTGATGCTTAGGACAAGTGAAATTTAAAAAAATAATTTGTCAGAGGTGAATTGTTCTTAAAATATTAACATGATTGGTTAAAATTAAGCATGTTCAACTAAATTTTRAAAACCAGGCTTATATTCTTTCAGTTGTATGAAAAAGTGTTCTTTAACAACCCTGCTTGCTTTTGAGCTATCACCTATCTTTGTATAGATTTAGCTTATGTTGCTCATAAAGAGGCACAGGAAAGAAATTACTGGGGATTGAGTGCAAACCTTTCTCAATTACCAAATGCCCTTTTCTCCAATTCATTTTTCCAGAGTATAAAAGACATTGTGTAATTAGACCAGTCTTCACCCCTAAAAGTGATTATGCTTTTGCTTAATTTTGTTAGTTGATTCAATACTTCCAGAAAATAGGCTCAAATTAGGAACTCAGTAGATACTTCATCCATTTATGGAGTATTCACAAAGTTTACATTCCCCTCTGGTCGTGACTTTTTTTTTTTTTTTTTTTTTTGGTATCAGGGATTGAACTCAGGTGACTCAACCACTGAGCCACATACTCAGCCCTGTTTTGTATTTTATTTAGAGACAGGATCTCACTGAGTTGCTTACCACCTCACTTTTTGTTGAGGCTGGCTTTGAACTTGCAGTCCTCCTGACTCAGCTTCCCTAGCTGCTGGAATTACAGGYGTATGTCACCGCACTCAGCTGATCATGACATTTTGACATGTGATTGACCTTCCTATACAATATGTGCTTTTCTTGGATTCCTATTCTAAGTTTACATGGATAATTCCATTTATTGTGTTATGCCATATTGTTAGTACTGATAGAGCTTTGTTTCTGTTCTTCTGATTCTGCACATATTAAAATATTTAAATTTTAATTTCAGGTATATTATATTTTTTTGCCCTTGGGACCTTATTTCCCAGGGCTATTCATTCTTACCTGTTCAACTTCTGGCTGCGGGAATGAAGGAAGTGACCAGAACTTGGAAAATAATAGGTGGAATCACACATGCTAATAGCTATTACAAAAATGGCTGGTTAGTCATGATAGCTATTGGATGGGCCCAAGGTAATATTAACAATATGTGTTCATAGGTATTCTCTTATTGATGTACCATAATTTTGGGGATGGCATACTTTTATTAACAGTCTTTTTGGAGGTAGAAACCTTGTTTCTGTTGGCTAGCAAAATTATTTAAAAACTTGTACTTTTCACTAGTACTAGTTCATCAGCCATTATTTTGAGCCTGACTGCCTTGTTATATAAAATTTTTATGATTTTGATTTCATTTTTATCTTTAATTTATGAACCAGAGACATTTATGTTAATTATTTTAACATAAATAAAACAAGTTTACTTAAGAAATTATGTAGCTCATATAAATAAAAACCAGCTCTTTCTGTGTTCTTTTCCTCCAACTTGAATTACTGGAAATAGTAAATATGATTGGTTATAAATTCATGTTCATGCATCAGTTGCTTTTATMGTTGCTTTCTGTAGGAATTGAATGAATTTCTCTAACAACTTGTTATAGCATACTGTACCTAAAACTAATTATATCAGGAGAGTAAATGGTAAAACAGAGGATTTTATTTTTTAGGTCTGAAACAAACCTCTAGCCATACCTCTGTGCTTGAGACCCCAAATTTAAGCTTAAGTGCAGTAAAATAGACAATTGCTGTGCGGGTGAAAGGGGAGAATTGCAGATGTTTCAGTATCCTAAGCTTACAAAGCAATTTTTTTCTTTCTTCCAATACTTCTGTTTGGAAATCCTCTTGGATTTTAAATCAGGTGGTAGAATTATGGCTCCCCTCAAATATTCTTAAGAAAGTTACTAAATAATCTTGTTTATTTTTTATTTTTATTTTTAGGTGCAGGTGGTATMATTATCACAAATTTTGAACAGTTACTAAAAGGAGATTGGAAACCAGAAGGTAATGAATGGCTGAAGATGTCCTAGTAAGTTGGTATATATTTTACTGAGATCTGGATTTTGTTCTTAGATCTTTTTAATAACATTTTTAGAACTCCCAAGTGTAATGAAATATAGCTGAAAAAATAAGTGGTAATGACAATGGAAAGAAAACCCCCAAATTTTATTCTAAGAGTTTTCTCTCTCAAATGAAGTTTTAAAATAAATATTGATTCACTTCTCTGAGGATTTATCCCCTTAAAAAACAAAACAAAATAAAACAAAACAAAAACCTCCAGATTATCATAGAATTATGGGAAGAGTATATACTTATGAAGAGAGATCTACTTAGAGGCAGACTTCTGGATGGAAATGAATCAATTATAGGCTCTTGGCATTTTCATTAGTGTGACATCGCACACATTTCAGTTTATACATAGCTCTAGTAGTAAAATGTCAAAATTAATGGGAAAATAAATTAGTRCATTATCATAAGATCCTGAGAGTGGTTTTAAAAATTACAGGTAAGTTTAAGTATCAAAGTAAGAAAAAGATTAGCAGAAATAATCCACTGTATATTTGTGTGATGCAAACTGTAGGTCAAGTCTCTTTAGAGAAAAGAATCTAATCATTAGATCTTTTCTAAGGCAACAACTCAAATCTTAAATAAGTCATAGGTATATACCTGGTGCACCTGAAAATGAAATGGAAAAATATAGTTATTATTCACACAGGTTGAGAAAGAGAAGACTTAGGAATAGTGGCCATAATAAGCTGCTCTTACTGTTGATTTTTATAAGCTCATTTTCAAATTAATGGATTAAATATAAAGATCACAAGCATTATGAATGAGGTAGTATTTTTGAGTGAACCAATAAATTCCAGGATATTCAACTTGGAAAGTACCCTTTAAAGCTTATAAGAGGTAGTTTGAACATAATATATTCTAAAGTAAAGCCTTAGAGAATAGTGTATAAAATCAGTGTTTTAGAATAAGTGGAACTGAAAACAGAATCCAAAGCTATTTTCTGAGGCTTTACCCTATCAGGTGCTATGTAGACACTTCTAAAAACATATATATTATCACTAATACTCTCAATAAACCTAAAAAGCAGGTATTATTTCTACTTCATGGGTTAGAAAACTAAGGCTCAGAGATATCAGAAGACTAGCTTATGGCTACCTAGGTATTTAGAATGTTTTTCTTTTCTTTCTTTCCTTTTTTAATTGTGCATTTCTTAATTTTTAAATTAAGCTAAAACTTTATATTGAGTAAACTTCGTCCATTTGAAGAATATAATTTTTGTTGAGTTTAAATAGAAATATATAATAAAAGAATAGTGATCACTATCAAGAATATTTCCATTATTCCACAAATTTCCTTTTGTCCCTTTGCATTCCATCTCTCCCTCCATTCTTGATTATAGTCAGAAATMTGTTTTTTTTCCTAGAATTTTATGTAAATGGATTTTGTATATTCTTTTGGGTCTTACTTCTTTCTTTCATCATAGCAATTTTGAGGTTCAACATATGGATGAACTGGTTTCTTCCTTTTTGTGCTATATTTTATTTTAGGAGCAATCACATTTTATTTTATCTGTTGATGGACATTTGGGTTGATTCCAGTTTCGACCATTGTGAGCAAAAGTTCTTTCAATATTTGTATGTGAATCATTGTGTGGACACATTCTCATTTTATTTATGTAAACATATTAGGGAGTGGCTGAGTTGTATAGTAGGTGTACATTTAACTTTTTTAAAACCATTGCCCATTTTCCCAAAGTGTCTTAAGAATTCTAGTTGCTCCATATTATTGCCAAGCCTTGGGATTGCCAGTCTTTTTATTTTTAGAAATTATAGTGAGTACATTTCTCATTGTGATTTTAGTTAGTATTTCCCTGTGGACTATGTTGAACATCTTTTCATATGCTTATTGGCCATTTTATGTCTGTTTTGAGAAATATCTGTATATACCTTTTTCTATTGTTATGATTAGATTGTTTGTCTTATTATATTGTTTTTTATTTATTTTTTGTTTGTTTCTGGACCTTTATTTTATTTATTTATTTTTATGTGGTGTTAAGGATCAAACCCAGAATCTCACTAGTGCTAGGCTAGTGGTTTACCACTGAGCTACAATCCCAGCCCTTGTTATATTCTTTATATATTCTGAATACCATTTCTTTTTTTAATTCTAATTTGTTATGTATGACAKCAGTATGCATTACAATTCATATTATACATAAAATGCCATTTCTTTGATGTGTGTTTGTAGAATTTTGGTACAGATCAATTTATCAATTTTTTAATACTTTCATATTCTGGGATGTCTTTGCCTATCCAGAGTTGCAAAGTTATTATTCTAATGGTTTCAAGAAATTTCTACTCTTAGCTTTTATAGTTAAGTCTATGATCTATTTCAAGTTTAATTTTTGTATAAATAGTATTGTGTAGGATTTGATATTTATTTTTCCCTTCTATATGCAGTTGTTTTGGCACCATTTCTTGGGAAGACTTTTCTTTTGCCCATTTAGTGCCTTGTTAACCCTTGTTTTTTTTCCCCCATAATCAAGTGATCACATATTTGTGGCTCTGTTTCTGGATTTTCTTCTGTTTTACTGATGTAAAAGTCCCCTAATGCCCAAACCCCACTATGGTATGGGAGTTTTCAGTTTTAATATCTTTTGGAACCTATATGCTGTTTTCCATACTTTGTTATACACTAGTTTTAATTCCTACTATAGTGTGAAAGGTTGCATTTTCTTCATACCTTTATCAGCATTTCTTGTCTTTTGTTTTTTTTTTGATATTAGCTACCCTCATGGGTGTGAGTTGGTATCTCACAGTAGTTTAATTTGCATTTCATTGATGATTAGTAATGTTGGCTATTTTTATGTCCTTTGGAGAAATATTAAGTTCCTTTGCTTCCTTTTTAAACCTGGTTATATATTTTCTTGCTGTTAGATTGTATGGTTTCTTAATAAATTCTGGATATTAACCATGTATCATATACTAGGTTTAAATATTTTCCCAGTCTATGGTTTGCCCTTTCACTTTATTGGTTGTTTCCTTTGTTGTATAGAAGCTTTTTAACTTGATAGAGTCCTGTTTATTTATTTGTTTTTGCTTTTGTAGCTTGGGATTTTGATATGGTATTCAAAAAGTCATTCCAAGGCAGTGGCATACTCTCAGCCTATACAGGTTGCATGACAAAATTAGATTCATGTTATCAAAGTAATTCTTAGAAAAGTGAAGCAGGAGGCATCACAATACCGGACCTTAAATTGTAACTCAGAGTGATAGTAATAAAACTGGTATGGTATTGGCACCAAAACCAATGGTACAGAATAGAAGACAAAGAGAAACCCATGTAAATATAGTTATTTTATACTAGACTAAGGCTCCATAAACATGCTTTGGAGAAAAGATAGCCTCTTCAACAAATGGTGCTAGGAAAACTGGATATCTATGTGTATCAAAATGAAATTAAACCCCTCTCTCTGACCCTGCACAAAACTCAGAGTGTATCAAGGACTTATGCATTAGATCAGAGACCTTGCAGCTACTAGAAGAAGATAAAGTAGGTCCAGATATCTACCATGTTGGCCTCAGAACTGAATTCCTCAACAAAACTTTTATTTTTATTTATTTTTTTTTTTTAAAGAGAGAGTGAGAGAGGAGAGAGAGAGAGAGAGAGAGAGAATTTTTTTAATATTTATTTTTTAGTTCTCGGCGGATACAACATCTTTGTTGGTATATGGTGCTGAGGATCGAACCCGGGCTGCATGCATGCCAGGCGAGCGCGCTACCGCTTGAGCCACATCCCCAGCCCATCAACAAAACTTTTAAAGAGTAAAAAGTAAAATCAAGAATCAATAAATGGGTTGGTATTAAACTAAAAAGCTTCTTCACAGCAAGGAAACAATCAAGAATGTGMAGAGAGAGCCTAAGGAATGGGGGTAAGTCTTTGCCACCTTCACCTAAATAGAACATTAATCTCCAGGATATACAAAAAACTCAAAAAACAAAACAAAACAAAACAAAAAACTTAACACTGTAAAAAGAAATAACCCAGTCAATAAATGGGCAAAGGAACTGAACAGGTGCTTCACAGAAGAAATACGATCAAGTCAGCAAATATATGGAAAAATGTTCAGCTTTTCTAGCAATTAGAGAAATGCAAATTAAAACTACGTTGAGATTTCATCTCACTTCAGTCAGAATGGCAATTATCAAGAGTACAAGTAACAATAAATATTGGGGAGGAAGTAGGGAAAAATGTACACTCATACCCCATATTGCTGGTGGAACTGCAGATTGGTACAACCACTCTGGAAAGCAGTGTGGAGATTCTTCAGAAAGCTTAGAATGGAACTACCGTTTGACACAGTTATCCCACTCCTTGGCATATACCCAAAGGACTTAAAATCAGCATACTATAGTGACACAGCCACATCAATGTTTATAGCAGCTCAGTTCACAATAGCTAAGCTATGGAACCAACCTAGGTGTGCCCTTCAACAAATGAATGGATAAAGAATGTGGTATATATACACAATGGAATATTGCTCAGCTATAAAGAAGAATGAAATTATGACATTTTTCCATAAGAGATGGAACTGAAATCTGTCATGCAAGCAAAATAAGCCAGTCCCCAAAAACCAAAGGCTGAATGTTCTCTTTGATATGTGCATGCTAACACATAAGAAAGGGGGTGGAGAATAGAAGTTCATTGGATTAGACAAAGGGAATGAAGGGAAGGGAGGGAGAAGGGAATAGGAAGGACAGTAGGATATATCGGACATAACTTTCCTAACTTCATATGTGAATACGTGATCACTGTAACTCCACAACCACAGGAATGGGAAATATACTCCATGTATCTATAATATGTCAAAATACACTCCACTATTTTGTATATCTAAAAAGAACAAATAAAATATTTAAAAACTTAGATTCATGCTTAGGAAGATTTTCTCTGGTAAGAAAAAATTTTTTCTCTGGTCAAGGGTTTAATTGGATAGTCTTTTACTAGTGTTGAAGGGTTAGGCATGTGATTCATGGATAAATTTCAGCCATCATAGCCGAAGCCCAGGAATASAGAGGAGATTATTCAAGAAAGATTTGTGGAGGAAGGATTCACTTGACTAATGGCATGGATCCCAGGAAACCCAGAGAATGTTAGAAATGTTAAATTAGCAGATATACTGCCAGCTTGGACTGCAAGAACAGAGACAGGATGAAATGAAAGAAGATTATCAAACTCATGGAATTCCTTAGGTGAAAAATAGGCTGATAAAACTGTGCAGCTACAGAAGTGTGCTGCCCTCTAAAGGAAAAGGAATGACTTCATGGTGGGGGCTGCACCCCAGAGGCCTGAGTCTAGCCCCACAGTCTGGAGTCAGAGGTGCAGAAACCAAAGATGTGAGTGTAGAGTTTGGAGCTGCAGATTCAGGACAGTGCATCCAGCCATGGAGGATTATCCYCAAGCCTTGAAACCTAATGGAATTGCCCTGCTGAATTTTGAAATTGCTTGGTACCAATGATATATTTATTTTATTTCTTCCTTTTGGAATGAGAATGTCTGTAACTATTACCCAGTACCTGTTCCACCATTGTGGAACTAGAAAACTTGTTTTTAGTTTTACAGGAAATTAGTATGTATTACAATTTTCTAATACATCCTGAGTTTCCTGACAAATCTCATATTTTGATTTAAAATGGAATTTCCCTTAATTCTAACCCTTCTCCAGTGTCCTGCTCCAGTTTAGTATCTATAAAATCATTATTCTTCAGATTCAACCTTCAAGAGAATGTAATCCAAAATGGAATATGTGTRTGCCAAGGCCATACCTGTAATGACCCACTTTGGTACAGAAACCAAACTAGTAGAAATGAATAGTTGAAAAATAACTTGAAGACAAATCTCATTTCATTTGTTTTTATCTTATCTTTTTAGAATTTCAGTTTTATGTAYAGTTTATAATAAAATTATGTATGTATGCATACTTTTATAAATTAAGAAACATATTAGGGAGCATCTAAAACATAAAGACCTATAGGGATATAAAATAAAAACTTAGAGATCACTGTTTTAAAATATGTTACTCAGTATATTGGTAAGTGAATTCCAAATCCTGTTGCCTAAACTTATTCCTATTTTGAACTTAATCTTTAGTGTATAATAATTAAATAACCTATTTAAAAAAATAAAGTGACTTATAGGGATCTTTAAATTTGTCATGTTGCAATATGGCATTCTGAGAGTGTATCATTTATCTTTATGGTAAGCATAGAGAAGCTAGATAATGATCTATTACTGAGGTATACTTTAAATAATGTGGCGGGTGTATAATATCAAAGTAATGTTGCTTATTTGATCCATTAGTAACTCATTGTAGACTTAAAATTTCAGCATTAAGATATTAGCAAAAGCTAATATGATATGTTGGAGTTGGCTCATATTGTTTTATGGAGCCAGTTGTGTACATCTCTTTTTCATTGCATGCAGCAGCCTGAAATTAGCTATGTGGGAGTATGTACATCATGGAAATAGGCAAACACTATAAATTGGGAATGAATTTCCCTCCTTTCACCCTCTCCTCTCCTACTGCCACATCCCCCAGCTTGTTTARCACTGAGGGTTTTTCAATACTAATTCCAAATCATGCTATGAAACATGAGACTTTCAGCTCCTTTTTGGAACAAAGTTATATGTGCAAAGTATGTTTTAAAAATGTTGCATTATGGAAATATACTCACCTTTTAGTTAGAGAGCCATGATGTACATAGACTTCTGAAATCTCTGATACTTTATACTGTGAAGAAAGGTATTTAATTTTGTATGACTTAGCATTTCCAAAACTCTTAAGTAAATTCACAAATCTCATTTTGTGTTAATATCTGTTAGTAGCTCATTAAAAAATGTTATACAGGGGCTGGGGATGTGGCTCAAGTGGTAGTGTGCTCGCCTGGCATGCATGCGGCCTGGGTTCAATCCTCAGCACCACATACAAACAAAGATGTTGTGTCCTCCGAGAACTAAAAAATAAATATTAAAAAAAAATGTTGTACAGTGTACTCTTTGAGAAAGATATAGTTTATTAATTACTATGATTACATTTTTATTAACTACTGTCTTAAAATATGTTTTATTTTCAGCCCTTCCAAGGTAACCCTGCTGGGGTCCCTTATCTTCACATTTCAGCACACCAAGCATCTGACCATATCAAAGCATAATCTTATGTTCCTTTATACCATCTTTCTTGTGACCACAAAGGTAAGAGTTCTAGGTATCTGCTCATTGGCAGTTGCTTCACATTTTCCCCAACACTTGTAACCATAGGTCATTTTATTTATCCACTCATTTATTGACAGACATTTTGGTTGTGTCTCTTAGAGTACATATAATGAGTTATGAACATGCAAGTAAAAGTTTTTGGAAAGACATGTGGTTTATTTCTTGTGGGTATATCATCTAGGAATATATTGTTAGATCATATAGTAATTCTGTGTTTAACTTCTTGAGGAACTTACAGGGTGTTTTTCCAAAGCATGGCCATCATTTTGCATTCTCACCAGTAATAGATGAGAGCTCCAATTTTACATATCCCACCAGCATGTGTTATTGTCCGTCTCTTTTATTCCAGCCATCCTAGGGGGTGGAAGTGGTATCTCATTGTGCTTTTGATTTACATTTCCCTGTTAACTAATGATGCTGAGCATTTTTTCTTGTGCTGGTTGGCAGTTTTTATATCTTCTTTGGTAAAATGTCTGTTCAGATCATTTTCCCACTTTTAATTGTGTTATTTGTCTTTTTAATGTTGAGTTGTAAGACTCCTTTATGTACTGTGGATATTAAACTATTTGGTGTAGATCTCAAATGTCCCCTTTGGGACTTTTGGGACTTTGGGACCTTTGGGAATTTGGCCTTGGGTTGAAGGCTTGTTCACCAGCTCTGATTGTATTGGGAGAAAGTGGGACCTTTAGGAAGCAGAGCCTTGTAGAAGTCCTTCAAGGGGGAGATATTTGGACTCCAGTTCTTCCTCTCTCTTGCTCTTGCTTCCTGATTACCATGGGGTGAACAGACCTCTTCTGCCACCTGCTATCTACCAGGATGTTCTGCCTGTTCATAAGCCCAAAGGCAACAGGGCCGAGTGATATGGAAGGAAACATTTGCAACTGAGCCAAACTAAGTTTTTCTCCTTATGAGTAGTTTATATCCTCATTTTTGTCACAGCAACTGAGAATTGACTTAGTCATAAACCCTTTTGAGAATTATGATTTCTAGATTTTTTTTCCTCACTCTGAGCTTTCTTTTCACTTGATAGTGTCTTTGGAAGCACAAGTTTTAAAAATTTTGATTAAGTCCAGTTTAGCTATTCCTTTGTTTTGTGTGCTTCTCATGTTGTATCTAAGAAACCATTGTGAAATCCAAGGTCATGAAGATTTATCTTTTGTTTTTTTTTCCTCGGAGTATTATCATTTTTGCTTTTATCTTTAGGTCTATGATCCTTCTAGAGTGAGTTTTGTGTATGGTATAAGGATGATTCCAACTTTATTCTTTCACATTTAGATATCTACTTATCCCAATGCTTTTTATTGAAAAGACAATATTTTTCCTCATTGAATTATCCTTGCAACTTTGTAAAAATCAGCTGACTGTGAATTTGAGAGTTTATTTCCAGACTTTTCACTTTTATTCCATTCATATGTATGYCTAGTCTTATTCTGTTTTCCTAATACCTTATATTGTAGCTTTGTGTTATTAGTTTTGAAATCAAGAAGAGTAAGTCCTCTGAGTTTTTTCTTCTTTTTTTGGGGATTGTTTTTGACTATTCTGGGTCATTTGAATTTCCATATGAGTTTTGGTATAAACTTGACAGTTTCTGCAAAGAAGCCATTTCATATTTTGATAGGGATTGCTTTAAATCTGTAAAAGAAACATTGCTTTAAATCAATGTTAAGTCTTCCAATCCATCAACACAAGATTTATTTCCACTTATTTAGGTCATTTTTAAGTTTTTTCAAGGATTGAAAACACTAAATGTTTTATTTTTTCATATATATATTTTGTTTAGTTGTCAATGGACCTTTATTTTATTTATATATGTGGTGCTTAGAGTCAAACCAGGTGCTTCATACATTCTAGACATGTGCTCTACCACTGAGCTACAGCTCCGGCCTGATCTTAATGTTTTCAATGTAAAATTCATACACTTTTTTGTTAAATTTATTCCTAAGGATTTTATTATTTTTGATTTATAGCAAATGGAATTRTTTTTTAAATTTTATTTTCAGGTTACTCATTATAAACATGTAGAWATAAAATTGCTTTTTTTTTGGTTCTGGGGATTGAAACTCAGTGGCACTTGACTACTGAGCTATATTCCAAGCCCTTTTTTTGTATTTTATTTAGAGATAGGCCCTAAGCAACTCAGCAAGATCTTAAGTTGCTGAGGATATCTTTGAACTTCTGATCCTCCTGCCTCAGCCTCCTGAGCTTCTGGGTTCTCAGGTGTGTGCCACTGTGCCCGGCTTACAATTGCTTTGTATATTTTATCTTGAGACCTGTAATCTTGCTGAACATATTTATTACCTCAAATAGCTTTTGAGATTATTTTTACTTGTTAGTTTTGTTGATTGGTTTTGGTGTTTATTCTTTAGGATTTTTTTTATATTTAGGGATGTGTCCACAGAGATAGTTTTTACATTTTTCCCTCTGATCTTCATGTCTTGCCCAGTTGCCCTGGCTAGAACCTCAAGTTCATTGTGGAATAGAAATGGAGAGACTGAACATTCTTGTCTTGTTCCTGATCTTTAGGAGAAAGCTTTCAGTCTGTTTCTTACGAAGTATATTAGCTGTGAGTTTTTTTATAGATCAGGTTAAGGGAGTTAGTTCTTTCTTAGTTTGTTGATGTTTTTTCTTTTATCATGAAGGAATGTTGGGACCTGTACAGTTTCTGAGAGTTCTAACTTTAAAGAAAATGAATGTTTACTATGGGCTTGATAAGAATACGTAGTACACTAAACTATTACATTTTTTGAATTAGAGGATCAGTTTTTGTTCAAGATCTAATTGGTAGAATAAAAATGATAGTTTTTCTTAGAATTGTTGCTAGACATATAGCTCTTTATTATAATAGCTGAACTTAAACACAATATCTTAATGTGATAATTTAAAAGATATTTTAAATTAGAAAAACAGGGAATACTGAATTTTTCTTATAATATTCCCTAACATTTTCCTGATTAGAAATGTATCCATTAATTTTCAAGTAACTCATCCATTTGCCCTAATTTTATGAAAAATTATACTGGTTTTAAAATCGCTTGTCATTTAAGAGCTTCTGAGCAGCTACTAAGTGAACAGTGTCTCAGTTTTTAAAAAAGATATTAAGAAAGGAATATTCAGAAAAAAAATTTTACTTTTTATTTTTTCCTTTACAATTTATATAGTCAGAAAAATTTGATAGTATTTTAGATATTGATCTAGTGTTTTGGCATATAAACAGATGCTAATAAATTCTCAGAGAAAATATCTCCCTCAMAGTATGACAGGCACACACAAATAAGTGTAATATATGTATAAAAATAGTGATTTTTTAAAGACACAAATTGGTGTGAATATACTTTATATACAACCAGAGATATGAAAAATTGTGCTCTCTATATAATAAGAATTACTATGCATTCCACTGTAATATATAAATAAAAAAATTGACACTCAAAAAAAATGATTTTTATGGGAGAAACAAAATAAATGACCTTTAGCATTACTCAGCCTCTGTTATCTGTTCTCATCTTAACTCAATTGAATCAGCTCTGTGTTAAGCCTTAAGTAGTCTCTGTCTTCACAGTCCACCTTGTCCCTCAGCCAAGGATTTGCAGTACCATCCTATATAGATATCTGGAGTCTCCCAATCCATCTGCCTGCCTTGCTTCCTCCTCTCTGGCACCTGCTGTGCAGATTCCAATCCTTTTGGCTGCAGTTGAACATGTCTCTGCTGCCTCAACTTTAGTTTAGGTTCTTTGTTCTCTGGTTGAGAAGTTGTCCTCAGGTAGTAATGGGGGTAAATGTGGAGATGACTTCATGTATTGCCCTTTTCTTATGGATCAGGCTTACACTATTTYTTGTCCAATGCCTGATAATAATTGTCTTATGTATTTTGTCAAGTTTATGTTTTTTCACATCTGGAGGGGGCTAGTCTAGAATCGAATATCTGGCATAGCAAAGGAGGAGGAATTTCATTCATTCATTCTTGTTCAGTCTTGTTTATCTGTGTTTTGTTAATCTTTTCAGAAGACTGACTTTTGGTTTTGTTATTCCTTCTACACTGTTTTCATCACTGCATCTCATGTCACATGTTTTGACATGTTTTTAATTGTCATTTAGTTTAAATTTTCCTACTGATTTACATTAGTTTCTTCTTTGACATGAAAATGTTTACAACTATGTTTTGAAATTTCCAAGCATTAAAAATATCTGTTCTTAAGTGAATTCTGCTTTACATTTTGAACAGTATATATGTGTGATCTATGTGTTATTCTTTGGAATTTTGTTGAAACTTCATTTCTGTACTAGTATTGATGAGATTTTGTAATTACTTTTTATGTGGAGAAAAGTAAGTATATTCTTTATTTTGGAGGAATAGAAATCATATATTTGTATATACATATGCTTGTTCATTGTGATCCAACTATAGAATATAATTGTTAATTTTCTTCTTGCTTCATTTATTTTCTTTTTTATTGAGATAATTATGTTAAGTACCTCCATTTTGTGTTGCTTTCTTTCTTGTATTCTTCCTCTGCTCCTTCCTGTCTTTCTTTTTCACCCAGAACTTAAGCAAGCCTCAATATTGATTACATATGGGGTCCCATTTTCATTCAAGGAGGACTCAATTCTACCTTTACAGATCTCTCTAGTCCTTTGTGATTATTAAAACTTAAGCATCAGGGAAAGAAATATATGCAAAAGACTATTGGCATAGGAAAAGCACTTGAGTATTGAAATCATACGAACCTTTGTTGGAATTTAAGCTTCACAATTTTGAGCAAGTAATCTGTGTTTTTCAAACTAGGGCTTTCCATATCCCAAGCTATATATGACTTTTGGCATTGTCTTTACAAAGTCATGTAAATATGATGCATTTTGTACCAGTGATTGATCTCAATGGTAATTATTTTAAACATTAAAATAAGTTAAKCAGGAATAGGATAAAATTCACATAAATTTTAAAGATAAGATAAATGACATTTTATTTTTGACATGTCTTTGGCAGTTTTGCGC